AACCAATTCTACGTGGAGTCACAGTGACGGGATTAAACGTATCCGTTTGTTGTGTCTGGTTGGTCTGACTCTCTAGGTTCAAATGAGACTCTCCACTTGCCAGCTCCCGCCGCCAAACTCCAGTTTCTGAGTTTACTGAACCCAGCTCTGGTTAGCAGGTGCGGTAAGAAACCTCATGGTCAGATCCTCATCAAGTCGATTTGCTGAAGAGAGGTGATGGAGGCTCCTGAATCTTCCAGAACATCGGGATCAGGCCAGTTGCAGGTTGGGAACATGCTCACAGTAAGGCGGGGTAGAAGAAAGATCCATGCAGAAAGTGGGGCGGAACGTCTTCTGGTGGCCGGGGCCCCGGGCTGCCTCCTTCTTTTAACAGTGTATAATAGCCTCTCAGGGTGAAGGCTTCATCGCACGCCTTCGTTTTACAAACGGCACAGAGCAGAGGCGTTTTTTCGCAAGATCACACATTGAATCCCGGAGGAGAACCGAACCAAGGCGAACACGCGCAACGGTTTTAATGCCGAGTGACTCGTCTTTTAAACTGACCCTTGTCTTCTGCGCGTTCGGAGGGGCGAACCATTTAAAGAGTTCCCGAGGGGAGAATAACTGTTTCTCTATACGGTCTAGGGCGGATACCCGGCTCCCGGCGCTTTAAGGCTACACACAGTGACACACCTGCCCTCCGCTTCCGGAATACTTAAGGCCTTCGCTTCATTGGTAAAACCTGGCCGCGCCCTCAAGGCATCTTGGGAAGTGTAGTTCCTCCTGTGTCGAGACATATGGGCGTGGTCTGCTTGGAACTGCATTTCCCAGAAGGCTGCGCTCGGCGTTACGTTAGAGCAGCGACGGGCCGGGGCGGGGGCGAACTCCTCGGGCTGGGGTTTTTAAGTTCTCGGGAGGAATGAGTGGCCACGGACAGAGGCCTCTAGCTGTGCGGTCTGTGGGTTTTCTGGTCTGGTGGAGCCGGGCTCTGAGCCGTGGTTCCAGCTATAAGCCCTGGGGCAAAAAAATTGAAGGGCGTCTCCTTTAATTGCAGTGGGCCGGGCGCAGCGACGCGATCCGCGTTACTATTGGCGGCGGTTGGGGGCGCGGAAACTGAACAGGCTGCAACGGCCGCTGCCGCTGCTTAGGGCTCCCGCGGCGCCCCCCGCGCCCCCCGACCTGCCACGGGCGGCTCCCGG